ACTCGACTACATAATATATTCGTCTCATCCTCGTCTAAGGCTGAGTTGCACCAACTTACCTACTTTAACGGTAACTATGACGATAACCGATGCTTTTTGTATGGTGTTTGACAGATTTTTGACGTTTGTCAAAGTTAAATTAATATGGTGTAACCCAGCCTAAATGTTGGCTATCCAACCTACAAGTTTTGTTATTATAAAGTTTCCTAAATTAATTGCATCAGTCTACGTTATATTCACCCACACACACGTGTATAAAATTTGTACGATACGAATGCCTAAGAGATGTGCAGTAAATTCTCTGACAAATCCAATTCAACAGAGTTGCTAGCAGCTGCTTCTCAGTAATAGGACAGCGCAGTCACAGTATGTAGAAATTTCAGTTCCCGAATTTTCATTTAGTCAGCATCAAAAGGTCTTAACTTGCTTCAACTTACAACCGAAGTGTGCATCGCGCGACTCGAATTTATGGACGAAGAAAGTTACGTTTAGGACAAATGAGTTCACAGGTATAAACTCTGGGATAGACACGAGTGGGTTGACAGTAAGTCCTCTTTTTAACTTGAAAATGAACCTAAATTATCATAAGTAAAACAGAACGATTCGGATAAGAAGAATGGTAAATAATAAACAATACATCAATCATTAATGGGGTTGGTAACCTAAGTTGCAAATTGATGCCTAAGTTTTCTGGTACGTGGCTTCCTGTCCAGCATTCTGCTGTCCTGTCAACCGTCAAATTTGCGTGTTATGTACCCTGCCAATTGCCAAAGTTATGCTTGAATTTACGTGATTCTATTTTATGTAATTTTTTTTTTAACTAATCAATGACAATGGCTGGGATAGAAAAGTTCTCTAGTGGCGACCACGAGCCGGAAGCTACGTCTTGTGGCCTACCACTAGGTGGACCGACGACCTGGTGAAGTTAGCGAGAGTTGCCTGGGTGCGGGCGGCGCAGGACCGGTCTTTAAGGAAATCCTTGAGGGAGGCCTTTGTCCAGCAGTGGACGTCATTCGGCTGGAATGAACGAATCAATGACATTTAATACACCTATCTTGATTATAACTAAAATCTCCTGAGTCAAAAAAATGTTAACCTGTACTGCTGGCACCCCACTGCATTATACAGCGGGGATATAGTTCGGAATAACAATGTTTATCTCAACTACTCGGGACAATTCGGTTTATCTCCGGTCGGAGACCAGACTGAGCCATTCTGTATTTGTAATGTCTCCGCGAGACTTATCCAGGTGCAAACGGAAATTAATCGCCACTGGGACAGATTTAGGGTGGATTTATTTTTGTTGAAGCAAGTAAGTGTGAAATGTTTAGACAAATCTTCTCAAGTTTTACTTAAGCACACATACAAACACTCTCGTCTATGTAGTCTTATACATATGGTACACAGGCACGTGTACACACAAATATTATACAAAACACAATTCCTCATCATCATCATCGACGTTATCAAGTCATTTTGTCTTGACTGCCGGAGCACTCTTTTTCCGCTCCTTTATACAGCGATTAAATTAATTTATTTTCTCTGAATTTAAGTAAAACATAAATAGCGTTAACTAGACTCCTCCTTGTACTCAAATCCACATCAGCTCTGCTAAGGTGAATAACCACTAGTGTTAACGGTAGAACCTTTTTGTAGTAGAATTTCTATACAAAGTAACTATTGTCTATTGTTATTAGAGTAAGATGGACTGGGGCGTGAGCGAGACAAAGATAACAATTGTCCGTTGCTGNGAGTTGTGCTGTGGATATTCTGCTTTTACTCTGTTTTTATAATTAAATTTGAATAAAAATACATATAAAATCGCTTCATTTACCTCGCCTCGTCATCACAGCTCTGGTGGAAACGGATGATGAAGGGTATTATGTGCTCTTGGCCCAGTTTTAGCTTGGTCCACGGGACAAGTCGCTGGATTGAATTTTAAATATTTTTCTCCCAGTAACCACTCCTAGGAATGTGTGTGAGAGATATGGCGAGGATGTGTGATAAGGATGTAGCTGGAACAAGCGAGAAACTGGCAGAGAACTAGCTGTCAGCTTAGTGACTCATCTGCGTACTGTTTTACAGCTTCGCTTCACATCCTTGCTGTACTTATTCATCTTCCTAGAAAACCTCCAATGGGAACGCAGCCTAAAAAGGTACTTAGTTAGGTAACTCATTATGTGCCGATGTTTTACCCGAACATTGTATCTTGGATCTAATAGAATAAAATTGAAGAAAGTTGTAATTTTTCCTCATTAACTTTTTATAATCTTTTGCTTCCTCATAAATGGAACATGAGTATAATAATTTTTATGTGAACAAAACTAATAACTATTAGTTTTTTAATCATGGCATCGTCTTGTTATTACCTTATCACTCAAAATTATGCACGACAAAATATAAATAAGTAAGTAGGCTCCATTTACAGAAGACGACTCAAGCTTAGATTAAGTACCATTATCTAGAAATGTGACGAAAATATGATAAAGCCTGGTCCGTGAGCATTGCGGGGTCATTGGACGGGATTCTACGTGCTCATGGACCAGGCTTTAGAGGTAAAATTCGATAATACAAAGACACCAACATCTTTAAAACACTTCATTCTTGCCATGAATATGAATATCCCAGAGTCCCCGGAACCACTCAACTTCGTTGGTTTATTGATATCAATCAATATTGATTGAACTGTAGATCATCACCATCATTTCAACCACAGGACGTCCATTGCTGAACAGGCTGAAGATCCTGTCTATAAAAGTCGCAGTGGATGGTGGGAACTAAACCTGGTTTGTTCCGCTAAAACTTAGGCCCAGAACAAACGGTGAAACGCAACTGCAACGAAACTGCAACTTTCTGATGATTCTGATGAATGAAACTGAAACTGAAAGTTTCAAACTGTTCGCGTCATGTGTGGTCTCTCAACGGACGCTATGGCAGAAACTTAGATACTACTCAAAAGTAACTAGCAGTTGCAGTTTCGTTGCAGTTGCGTTTCACCGTCTGTTCTGGGCCTAACTGTCAGTCTTCCACGGAAGCAAACCCCATAAGCGCATGCGCGAAAGCGTAAAATGCCAAAATGGCGCATTACGTAACATCAGCATCCCGCATGACGTATGAGGACGTCATCATCGCATTAGCCTGGGAAGACCACACGCGCGCCCTCTCACGGACATTTGCGTAACTTCGTTTCCTGTTTGGGTCGTGGTTGAATCATTCCAGCAGTCACTTTTGCATAAAACAACTTATTATTGCACTCTAAAACACTTGGTATCATAAACTAAGATTATGCATTACTTTTTATTTTATTTTCTTTGTTAGGAAAACATACTGCTTAATCTATATATATATATATATAAAAATGAAACCCGTTTTCCGTTGTCACGACATAACATGAAAACGGCTTGACCGATTTGGCAGATTTTTTTTTGTAGTTTTCTAATACTCTGTACAAGGTTTTTACGGAAAAAATATAAAGAAAATCTCTACGCTAAGGCGGTACGAAGTTCGCCGGGTCAGCTAGTATGTTATAAAACAGCATTACGATACTCTTTACCTACGCATCTATTAAAAAATTCATAAACGAACCTGAATTAAATTCAAAGCTTGTGATGTGCTATTCTGTACGATGAAAATATCGTAAAAAATGAAATAGGTATCTATGATCTGAGGTATTACCTAAAAGGTAACATGACTCACAGAGTTAATGAACTCTAACAATGACTCTTTTCAGAGTAGAGATAGGTACTGAAAATTGTATTTGACAGCAAATTGAAAAGTTTCTAGGGCTAGAATAAAAAATAATATCCACATTGAATTCCTAACAGTTAGCGGTTTTAGCTTTCTGTATGGCATGAACTTTACCACAGGATATAAGACTTAAAAGCTTATTACTAAAACTTGCTTTACTCGGAACTAGCTTTCCACGAACCTTATTTGGGTGCTACAAGCTTTAGCTTATCAATAAAAGCTTTTAAAATTGCTACAAGTATTTTCCTGTCATAATATTACATAACTTTCACAAATCTATACTTCTATACTAATATTATAAATGCGAAAGTAACTCTGTCTGTCTGTCTCTCTTTCACGCCAAAACCACTGAACCGATTTTGCTGAAATTTGGCATAGAGATAGTTTGGGTCCCGGAAAAGGACATAGGATAGTTTTTATCCCGGTTTTTGAAACAGGAACGCGCGTAATAAAGTTTCTCTGTGAAAGACAAAATTCCACGCGGGCGAAGCCGCGGGCGGAAAGCTAGTTCAATATAACTGCAATCGATTAAATCTACATGATCGGTATTAGGTGCTCGATTACGTGTGAAAATATCGAGCGATTGTATCGGACAGCAATCGGTTCTTCGTAACGAGGTAATTGAAATTATAAAGAATGATTAGATTTATTAATGTTTTATTAACCCTTTACCTACGGGCCCTTGGAAACCCAAAGTCGCCTCTCAATACGGGGTATTTTAACCTATAAAATTGTTTGCTCCACTTTACATCAAGATATTTTAAAAAGTATGAGACTTACGGTATTGAAATTTGGAATATTATATTCTGCTACTAATGTAGTTTCATAATTACAAGCGCATTTTACACTTAATTTGCAATTTTATTGTTTTTTTGTCGTAAACCGTGATTTAGTATTGGGTTTGCCAAAATAACAATAGATGCCACCCGTATTGAGAAGTGACATTTGACTTGGCAACTATAGGTGCCTCCCGTAGGTAAGAGGTTAAGACAATTTTGTAGGATTTTTAATTTGATTTAAAACTTGAGTTTCATACAGCAGATTTTCACGCAGTAAGTAAAGGAAGCACGGTATGTTTCATATTAATACTTTTTGAAAAAAAAAATTGTTTTTTTTTTAACCGGACCGGTAATTAATTTAATAAATTATCAATGTAATCTATTGATAAGTAAGACGATTTATATGTCTAACAAAAAATATAATTGACTAATTTTGTTTAGTAAAAGATAATTATTTGTAAAATATTATTGTTAACGGTAGAACCTCTGTAGTAGAATTTCTAAACAAAGTAACCATTGTCTATTGTTATTAGAGTAAGATGGACTGGGGCGTGAGCGAGACAAAGATAACAATTGTCCGTTGCTTTGATTGTGTGAGCTCATGCCTCAGTCGCCGTTTGAACACGCTATTACTGTCACGTTTGGATCGAGCCCTGTGTTTCACTTTGCTGACCTGCCCTTCGACGTTAATCAACCCCGCGTCCTGTCTTCTACAAAGTGGTCCTTCGAGCATCGGATCGTCGAAAGTGGTCCTTCGAGCATCGGATCGTCGNTCTTCTACAAAGTGGTCCTTCGAGCATCGGATCGTCGAAGAATATGTCGTCATACACTCGCAGCAAATCCAGAAACATCGGGCCCGATAATAAAGTACCACGGGGAAACTCTACGCGCCCTCAACAAAGATTGCCGTCGTGTGAGGAAGAACGACGCATGGAAGAGGAACGACATCAACGAGAAGTATCGGCGCCCAGTACGAAGAATCTGTCACATCCTGCTACAGATTCGGGCATCGCAGAATCACGCTTCAACATACAGTCGCCTTCCAGTTCCAGTCAACACGGCAACCCGGAGGCTATAGTTCGTGGGATCCCGTTAGAAGGAGGGACGGTGCACGATCACACAATACGTCGCGCACCCGAAACCTGCAGTACGCCGACAGAAAATAGCACGCGCCCGAAAAATAGCACGTGCACCGACAAAACCACGTGCACCGAATACACCACGTGCACCGAATACACCACGTGCACCGGAAACACCACGTGCACCGAAAACACCACGTGCACAGAAAATACCACGCGCCCCGTCACGCCCCCGACCCTCCGCCGCGCCGCCACTGCAGCGTCCGCAGCCCACTGTGTGTCGTCCCGGTCGAGTCACGCTCAGCGAGAAGCAGCGCGTCGCCGCATCGAGTACGAAGTGGAGCTTGAGTTGTTTAAATCGAAACAACGCCTAGCTCAAATGAAAAAGGCGATGCAGCTAGCCGAGTTAGAAGCTGAGGAAGAACTCGAGGATGAACCACCCGAACGAAACCGTGAGTCGCTTGTTGGGGAGTGGGTCGAGAAATCGCCCTTCAACGCTGCAGAAGAGACACTTTATCGCCCTCGCATGACGCTCTTTCTACGAGCTGCCAAACTTCTACGGGGACCCTGCAGACCGTCTCTTCTTTAAGAGAAGATACGAGTAGTCATCACGTACGAGTTCAAGCCGTCGGAAAACTTGACAAGAATTTAAATGGCGTTGCAAGGCAAAGCTAAGAAACTCATTGAAGATTTGCCTCGCACTAGCACGAACCCGAACGAGTTAACACAAGTGCTAGATCGAACAAACGGAAACCCGCATACGTTACTTGCTTGCCCAACCTCGCTGACAACGATAGTGTAGCAGTACGGAACTTCAGTGCCGCAGTCCGTTCGTGTGTCTACTTTGAAGAACATAGGGCGGACGGATACTTGAACAATCCTTAGTTCTGGAGTTATCAGACAAGCTNGACAAGCTTCGCCCGCACAATGTGATACAGCAAGTTCGCCCGGCGACTTTTACGGCCACGTCGATTTGCGAGTGTCGTCGACCTTAACTGTGGTGTGGATTTCCTGGAAGAGCTGGCCGACACAGCTGCGTTTATGGTGTCTACTGACGTGGGTGACCTTCAAAGCCGAACTTACCTAAGACTACGTACCACAATAGACAGCACTCATCAAATCCTCCTGAGTGCAGTTGCTTGGGCACTCAGGGCACGACATCAGGTGCTTCATCGACTGGGGAACAAAACCGCACCTGCACTCCATGTGTAAGCCATCTAAGACAACGCCACTCTTGTCTTGTAGCGGAGTTTTGGGCTGACACTGTGTAGGTTTGTTGTCGACACGAAAAGAAGAAGTAGACAGCAAATACGTCGACTGCACGTCAACCGAACCGCATAGTGCACAAAGTGATGGAAGTGACTGAAAAAGAACCTGAAGTAGTGTGCGAGTTATGTGAAGGACAACATCGGTTGCCAAGCTGCAGTGAATTTGTGAAAATGGAACTTGATTAGAAGTGGGACTTAGTTTTGTGTAATTCTACAGCCCGAGGTATCAGTCCGTACCATAGAGATATAGAGAGATGCCAACTAATGCGCTGAGTTCGAATCGAAACTCAGTGTCGCATTAGAATTTCACACAAAGAAATCAAAATATGTGCTCATTATCCACTGCGGTATCAGTACTCAACGTTCGAATAATCTTTCTACGCAAGCAATGTAAGCTGTTTACATTATGACGTCGCTGCTGTCACCATGGCTTTCACATGTGTTCTGTTTTTGGGCATATTGCTGCGACACGGGCCCCATGGCACATCTCCCTTTAGTTTCTGTGATCTGTGGTCCGTAACTTCGCGGTATCTTGAGATCTTGCATTGTTCCTTACTTCGTCCCATTCGTTCCCGCTCGCCATATCTTCTGCATTAGTATTCGGGAGCCAATTGACAACGGGTAAATGAGTCCCAGTGATCAGACTCATAATGAAGGGCAGAAACACTCTCTTCGTGGGCACTTCATCGCCATTCACAATTTCGGAACGTAGCTTCTTGAATGATTGGTCAAACGCAAGGGAGTCTTCGCTGGTTATCCACATGAAGCCAAGGGTTCGTTCGGTTTCTCCTCCAAGTTTTGACAAACTGACACTCTCAGTCTCAGGAATAACGCTTGGCAGTTTCTCTAGTAAAGTTCGGTCGCCGGGCACGTAGAATTTCGTCCAATGACCCCAAGCTACCCATCCTTATCGCTCGCGCGTAATTATATTGCTGTCGCGAATGTGCGACGGGCGCCCGCAGTGAGTGTGCGAGCGTGTAGTTGTTCGTTGTTGTCTGTCGACTACCCCCTGATGTTGAAGTTACCGTGGCGATGAAGCCACGATTCTGCGATGATTCTATGATGCTGTCGATGTAATTAATTTTTCTGTATGGCTTCAACTGCTTCCGGGTGTGTACCTTTGAACATGACAGCATTCTTGTTCAGTACGAAGATAATAAATTAAAAAATGAAAATGAAAAATATTTTATTGACACCTTAGTACGAATGTTACAAGTAAGTAGTTGGGGAATTCCTCTCTTTAAATTTAAGTAACCTGTATTGAGTGGAATCCACTCTAGCTGGAAGATAACGAAGGCGAAGATGTGGCACCGAATATCATTGAGTCCATCACAAAGGTGTCGGGTTCAAATTCAAATTCAAAGTATTTATTGCTTGCTAAGTGACAATTTGTAATGGTGTAAATTACATATACAGGAGCTTAAAAAAGGTTGTCGTTCTCTGTCTCTCTCCAAAAGAATAGTTGTGCTCTCTGATCTTTCTCAGTGATCTTAACACATAGGAACATATCCTCTATATCTGCAGTCACTGCTACTGGCTTCGATCGAAACTTGGGCAGCGGGTTGAGTAGATTTGTAGCCTTATTCACGTAACACTGTTGAAGTTACAACAAATCGCTGAGTTGCGATCCTATCGAGTAATCGTTCTATCGAAATGACCCTTGTGAATACGGATTTAGAACTGATTCAATGGGACGACTTCTGAAAGTCAGCGAGATCTTGACTGTGTCAAAATACGTGAATTAGGCCACCAGCCCGCGACTTGTTGAGTTCGTAAGTTGTCGGTTTTTCATCACGTGTAGCAACTGACGGTGATTATAACCGCACTTGCCGCTTTTTCGCTCGGAACGACAGGCGTTTGTGTTTCTTCACGATGCAGTTGAAACACAGTTTATTTTTCTTCTTGGTACTTCGTGGATGTAGTTTGTTTAAAGTCATGACAAAATGAGTGCGCTTTTTAGGGTTCCGTAGTCCTGACAAGGAACTCTTATAGTTTCGTTATGTCCGTCTGTGTGTCTGTCTATCTGTCCGAGGTTTTGCTTGGAAACTGTTGGCACTAGATGTCCACACATCATCAACAGCCCTTTACAGTCCACTGCTGGACTATGAGCCTCCTCCACTATAGTGGAGGGTTTTGCCATAATCTCCACGCTTGGCAGGCGGGTTGGAGATCNACCGCAGCGTCCGCAGCCCACAGTGTGTCGTCCCGGTCGAGTCACGCTCAGCGAGAAGCAGCGCGTCGCCGCATCGAGTACGAAGCGGAGCTTGAGTTGTTTAAATCGAAACAACGCCTAGCTCAAAGACTTCTCTTATCGAAGACTTGGCCGCTGCACTTCATTCAATTGCGAAGCCGCGTCCTACACTGCGCGCCTTCTACGAGCTGCCAAACTTCTATGGAGNTGCAGTTGAAACACAGTTTATTTTTCTTCTTGGTACTTCGTGGATGTAGTTTGTTTAAAGTCATGACAAAATGAGTGCGCTTTTTAGGGTTCCGTAGTCCTGACAAGGAACTCTTATAGTTTCGTTATGTCCGTCTGTGTGTCTGTCTATCTGTCCGAGGGTTTGCTTGGAAACTGTTGGCACTAGATGTCCACACATCATCAACAGCCCTTTACAGTCCACTGCTGGACTATGAGCCTCCTCCACTATAGTGGAGGGTTTTGCCATAATCTCCACGCTTGGCAGGCGGGTTGGAGATCGCAGTTTAACAGATTGGTGTTTTTCAGAGAGCGCTGCTGCCCATTCTCTGTTTGATGTGTAGTCCCTAAGTCGCCTCTTACGACACCCGCGGGAAGAGTAGGGGTTGGTGACAAATGTATTCTACTCTGCCGTCACCACACGGCTTATGATAGATGTCCACACACTAATATTATAAAGCTGAAGAGTTTGTTTGGTTGTTTGAACGCGCTTATCTTAGGAACTACTGGTCCGATTTGAAAAAATATTTTTGTGTTGGATAACCCGTTTATCCCGGAAGGCTTTAGGCTATACTCGTATATCATCACGCTAAGACCAATAGGAGCGGAGCACCAAAGAAGAATGTTTCAAAATCGGGATTTTTTTCTTTTTGAGAGCTGACGCTGCGTAAACGGTTAAAGTTACGCAAAAATCATGTATGACAGGATTGTTCCACTTTAAAAGTTCTACGAAAAAGTCTGCGATAGCATATGTTCTTTTAAGGTTGGCTCACTATAATCTTTTTTTATGATGGAAGGCTCGTGAAGATTTTGTATTAGTTTTTCTTTAATACACTTCGTGAAGTTATGCGCATTCATTTCTGAATGATATTCCAGAATATTTCTACTAGTGAATAAAATAAATAAATAAAAAAAAAATAAAAAAGCCTTTTATTTCTTACTATACACAAAATTAACAATAAAACTAATAAACATGCTAATAAAACTAATAAACATGCTAATAATTAACATACTAATATTTAGAAGTTACTTTATTATTGAGCAAAAAAAGAAGTAAGAACCCCCCGTTAGTTGGAGGTGAAGGCCTCCTCTAGAGAATGCCAAGTGTCCCTGTCGCCTGCCACGTTCATCCATTGCTCGCCAGCCACTTGCACTATGTCGTTAGCCCATCGCGTAGTTGGTCTTCCTCTCTTTCTTGTACCCGATGGACCCAGCCAAGAAGTTAATCGCTTAGTCCAACGATTATCTGTCAGACGAGCTATGTGGCCGGCCCAGCGCCACTTCAGTTTCTTGCTATAACATAGCGCATCTGTGACTTTTGTCTTTTTCCTAATATCTTGGTGTGGTATTTTTTGGATTTTTTTAACTTTTAATAAGCTTCTCTCCATACTCCGTTGACAGGTTCTGATTTTCATTTCTACTCTATTTGTAAATTTCCAAGTTTGACTGGCGTATGTTAGCGATGGGAGAATACAGGTATCCATGACTATCTGTTTAATCTTAGTTGGCATTTCACTTTTCATAATTTCTTTTAACGTCCAAAATTTCTTCCATGCATTTGCAACTAGTGAATATGAGGAGCCAATTTGGCACAAACGACTTTTCGCTTCAGCATGGACTATGATGTGACGCTGTCCTTTGGAAATGTCTTTTGTGATACCTTTGATGTTTTGTGCCCTGGTGGGATAATAAACAGATTCTGATTCTTGTTAGTGAAAATTTTATAAAATTATACATCTACTAACGGCCGCCCGCGACTTCGTACGCGTGGATCCCGTTTTACCCCCTCAGGGGTTGAATATTACAAAATCCAGTCTTAGTGAGCACCTACGTTCTAAAAGTTCTTGTAGTTTGTGAGATTTCGTGATGAGTGAGTCAGTCAGTCAGTGACCTTTCGCTTTTAAAGATAGGTACAGATTAATGAAGAAAGATTTGATTTCTGGTTTATTTGGAGGGGTTTATTGGACCGATTTGAAAAGTTCTTTCATCATTACAATCCAAAAAAAAAAACTGCTTAACATAAGCTATATTATACAGGTACCTTAATGAAGAATGAATATAATGTATGTAGCTTTCATCGATATAAGTAAATAATTATTTTCTTAGTTCTTCAGGCAAATCTCGATATTTATGATCGCCAAGTATCTTCTCGTTTTGCAACAATACTTTTATGAATTTCGATTACAGATGAGACCGAGAATTCGATTAAAACACTTCTATTATTTTGGCATTTATTGTAGGTAAACAATATTTCATTAAAATTTTACGAAGAACTTCAAGACTACAATCAAAATCCAGCTCAGTTCTGGTGATCACCTGCAATTTTCTGATGGTTGGTACGATCCGTTGATTGTATGTAGGTACCTACAATAAATTTAGGCATACCTACACACAAAAATATGCATGGGCCGAAAAATGTTATGTTTTTACCTCTTTTGTACTGGGTAAAATTGAATTTTTTGGCGGAGAGCACAAATATTAAATCATCCATTTCTTTTTTTGGTCGGCCTTACCTGTGTTTCCCAGGAGTTCAAAACTTTCCATTATTCTGAAAACCTTCGTTGACTATGTGCCTAGGGTTGCCAGGTGTCCAGCTTTTTACGGTCGTGTCCGGCCAAATATTCTCTCGTCCGGCCTGTCCGGCTTTTATGTGGCAGCTGCGGGTAGGACCAGACCACAAAAAATTTGCCACTTTGCTTTTATCCGGGAATTCAAGACTATGAATGTCTGTGTACTATGAATGAACGGCTTTTAGGGTTTGTGTTTTTGAACCTAGCAACCGTATATGCGCCTAACCTACTTTTTGATTTTCCTGACCTGCGTCAAAATAAACCCTGCGTCCTGCATTCTAAACTTACTGAATATTTGACACTTTTTATTAACTAAAATTTATAAATTAACTATTTGTGTTGTGACTGTTGTGAGTAAATGAAAAACCTTTTACGAAAATACGAAAATTTATTCAAAAAATACCACTATCACTTTATTTTTTTTTATTAATAAAAGGTTACATTTAAAAAAAAATAAGCACATAGCAAAAATACAGGTTGCAGTACTCATATGGCAAAAATAAAGTCTATTTGGTCCATGTCAAATACACTCGGCATCAAATAAATCGCACCTCCCGCGACTTTCAATTCCCACTTCCCACCAATATTGGTACCATTTGAAAGCCTATCTAAACTTCATTTCATTAAAGGAAAGGTTTTTACCCCAAAAATGTGTCTTTAGAGGATCCAGAATTTCTTCTTAAAACGACAGGTAGTTCGCTTGAGCCAACTTTTATGGCTATAAAACTGTTAAATTGGGATTCATTGCTATCCATCTGTTAAAGAAGACACGTGAGATCATTATTTGGTTTTATAACCATTGGTCTAATTTGTCCGAGAGGCGAGCCCCAAGTGAGGTCTTTTTTCAAGTCACATTTATGGTACCTACTAGCCTACCTACTTGTTAATTGTTATAAAACAAGTTAAATGTATTTTTCTTCAAGTTTATTTATTGGGCTTTCAAATAACACCAATATTGTTGGGGCACCATGATTGTGTCAGAAAAAAATCTTTAAAGTTAATGTCGCGGGAGATGCGATTTATTTCACGTGGAGTGTATTTTTTATTACTTTTTTGGATGGAATTTGTATGGAATACAAATAATAAAAGATTCTAATTGCGTTACCTAAGTTTTAAAATAAAAGTTTGCATCTAAAATAATCAAATATCATATTAAGTATGACTTATTTATAAATCTAGGCGTTGAAAAAGAACATTAATTAATAAACATCATTTTATAAAAATCTGCTAGCAAATTTCTACAGACCTACATAGTACGCCAGTTACTAAGTAATTCGAGAAAATGCCAGAAATTGTTAAAACTAAAAAATGTTGATAATATTTTAAATAAAAGTCGATAGAGCAGGAATTTAAACGTACACAAATACAAACACAATGTAGAAATACATAATACAACCATAGAGCCTTAACTAACCCAAAAAATAAAGTGATGATTATAATTTTATTAAAAAACTTACCTACATCTAAGAATACAAAAATTGATTAAAAAATGGCTAAACGACCTATGTCAAAAAGTAAAAAAAATACTGCTGTGGGATTCGCGTGGTTTCGCCCATTTCTGAAAAAAAGAAAATAATTTCAATTATTCAATAATTAATTTTTCATTCTAATACAATTAACTATATTCAATCCTTGTCCAAATCCGGATTGCATCTTTGAATCTTTTTCGATCGAATATCCTTAATTTTTGATGCGTTTACACTTTAATATTGTTTAAATGATGTGAATGAAGATTAAGCTGCAAAGAAACTTAACTGGAGTAGGTAGGTACCTTGAAAGACGTGGGGTTGTGTATCAGGTCGATATAGTCCAGTCAGAGGGCCTCCAGCGACCGCCGGCAGGCCTCCTCCACCAGGTGTTTTGTAGACGAACAGGTCGGACCTGGGAAAGAAGGTAGAATAACATAGCTTTTATTCAACAGGTCATAAAATTTTGTGTCAACTCTAGGGCTAGTAAGAACTATCTCCACCTTCATACATAGTGTCACTTGATTAGGGTGTCCTTTGCATTAATTACTTTCACATAATTATCAAACAATCTACGAGTACATTCGGCTGCTGTAGGTACCNGACTGGAACGGATTTGGCATAAATATACATCACCCACCTTCGATTCGCGGACGATATCGTAGTCATGGCTGAGACCTTGGAGGATCTAGGCACAATGCTCGATGGCCTCAGTAGAGCCTCTCAACAAGTGGGCCTCAGAATGAACATGGACAAGACAAAAATCATGTCTAATGTCCGTGTTGCACCCACTCCTCTGAAGGTTGGAGACTGGACTTCTGGACTGGAATGGATTTGGCATAATCATAATCCTTTATTAAAAATAACTTGGGTTAACTAGTTCAAATACTTTAATTAACTCGCGCGCGCGTATTTTAATTAAATGGCTATTTTTCTATTTGTATTTGTTTTTTATTTATTTTACTAAAACCGAAAATACCGAATATCCCGGTTTTTGTGAAATGAATACCGGTATTAATTTGACCTAAATTTGGCCCGGTATTCCGGTATTTTCGAAATACGGTATCCCGGTTTGCGACCCCTAATAAAAACCCAACCAGTGAAGGTCAAGTTTGTCCAGGGAGAAAGTTAGACTGTCATTAGACCAGTAACGAAATTAATGAGACCAACATAGGAGGGATCGAAGTTAAGGTTCGACTTCCCTCCATTGCAATTATTTATTTATGTATATTGGAGAAAATTGCTGATGTGCTGAACTGGCTAAACTTGTCGTGGGCCTATTAGTAATTTTTATTTTAATCTCTGAATAAAAATATCTGACTACGCGAACATGACTAAAAGAAACAAATGTAATGCAAAAACTATTTAATATATAATAATTAATTAAATGTTAAAATTGACTTTCTTATCAACCCAAGTAATCAACAATTAACATACATTACACTAATAAAAAATAGAACAATAGAAGACAAGTCATCCACATTTTGTTTGGATCAGATCCAAAATACCGTTTTAAAATAACTAAAACTAAATAACTTTTATTATTAATGATATGAAACCTACTAACATTTTATGGATTTTATCCTAAAATAAATGATTAATTAACGAAGATGGAGCAGTTCTTACAGCTCTTTGTAAGTCGAGTCTCCTTTAGACTCAGCGACGCGTTTTATCATTGCGGGCGAGGCTACCCTCAGTTCGTAGGCCCAGCCAATTTTGGCGAACAAATCCAGTAGATTCGCGGTGGCGTTAAGAGGAAACGTATAGGGAATCTCCGCCGCCTTGTAGTCCCACGGGAACGTGTGATGGTAGTTGTGCCAGCCCTCGCCAATGGTAGATAATGCAACCATCCAGTTTTCACGAGGCATTATTTTGCTGAAATATAACATTTGGTTTACTTTGGCAAATGTTATTTGTAATAATGACGTATTAAAAAATGAAATTTAAAAAGCGACTGTTTGTTGTAATTGCTTTTTTTCTGATCAGAAATATTGAATTTTAATAAAAGATACACTTTTGTAACTCTACTATGGGTGGGTTACACCATCTTACTTTGACGTTTGTCAAAGTTAAAGTAAGTAACATAACTCTATTACACTGCACAACAGCATTTCTGATGATTGGGTTATGTTACATGATATTAGTCCAATTTTTAATGACGATTTCAAATCTGTGATTGAAATGTCTGTATCAGCTCTGGTTAAAAAAATATGACACTTGGGTCTTTTTGTAAAAAAACACTCTTTTTTTAGATATGATCCTATTTTATGAAGTTGTTATATTGAAAAAACTTTCTTTTATTTGACTTCCTTGCTGATGCTGAAGGCAGACAGCTCTTCTGAATGATTCAACAGCAGTCAGCCATCATATGTGCATTCCAGTGGCCCTGATAGCGTCCCTCTATCGCACGAAGGCCCTGGTGGATTTGCTCGCCATGTTCTTCACTTAGATCCTTAAGAGTTGTGATAAAATTGTTCAGGTGATTGCGAAGAGGGTGTAATTCGATGTTTATATTACATCCAAGCAAAAAAACATGTTTGTAAGTGACTCATACGTTGTTCGATTTGTAAGAATAGTAAGATTTTTTCGGATTTTCAAAAAAAATAATTAAAATGCCAAAATAACTCATTCCATATGTTTTCGGAAGACTTGAAGATCCTAAATCTCTAAAACGATCGTTTAAACCATCTTGGCTACATGGTTTTGAAAATTTTGGGTCACATTCAAAGTCTCTACCACACTGACAGTTTTCGCCTCAAAATCCTCATGTGAAGTATCAACATGAGGTTCAGGTGACCTCTTAGGGTTGAAAAGACGTCTACATGCCAAACGTATGCAAGGAATTACCATTTACTTCAATGTTTTTTGGTTAATACCATTTCTGTTCAAAAATAAAAATAACAGTCGTCGCGATGGTTCAAGGGTTCCTTTCAGATCATAGCGGTTTCGTACCTAAATCTACACATATTCTTATTTGTTTATAAACGTAAAAACTCAACGCATCTTTTCCACGCCTTTTACGGAATTCAAGGCTTATCTTTCATTTCCACTGGGTCCCCAAACTAATTTTTGTAAGCCAATTTTACGAACTTTGTCACATTTAAACGGATTATGTAAACATATCCTCTCCGCAAATGAAACAAAATTGATTTAGGTCATTCACACAAACACTTCTTAATGCTACCATATTAAATAATACAAAGAAAACATAGTATTTTTTTAACTGTCGGCGAATTAAGACTGAATTTTAGCAATTTTTGAGTAAAAGCTATAACACGTAAACAAGAGCTGCTACGAAAAAATGGACGGCAGATTCAGAATCAGCGACGTCAAATTAGTAAACATCATGTAATGAAAGTCAATCATCAGCCAAAAGTTGCAATTTTGTTGTGCAGTGTTATTGGTGGGTTACACCTTCTTACTTACTTTGACGTTTGTCAAAGTTAAAGTAAGTACCTAATATAACTCTATTATGGGTGGGTTACACCATCTTACATTGACGTTTGTCAAAATTAAAGTAAGATGGTGCAACCCGGCCTTAGATTTCGACTTTTTGCCACTTGATGAAAGATTGTTGTAATATGTAATAGTTATCAATGAAGATGCTCCCAAAAAGAAATATACTCTAACCTGTCATAAGGTCGACCGCCATACAGATGAGCAAAGCTATTCACAGACCAATTGGTGTGAAGGATCAACGTATACTTAAGCATCAGCGCGAAGAACGCCACAGATATGCGCTCGTCCCAAAACACAATCGGGATCACAAGCGGTAAGACGAAGGCAAACACAAGTTTCGATATCTGAAAGTACCTGAAATAATAAATACATTTCAATCTAAGAATGTTTAACACATTAAATAAATTAAGCAGTGTCAATCAAAATAGTTTCGGAGAAGAAAAAGGCGCCCAGAACTTATAGAATGCAGTACCAGTCGCGTTTAGTTAGGGTCTTATGTCACGGGTGCTACATCTCTCGTTTTGCTCAGAAATCCAAACTGGAATCTTAAGTTTATCGTGGGATTCAATCGATGGGAAGCGGGAGGTATTTTGAAATAGCTAATTCCAATTTCGAGTCAATTTTTTTCTGTAGGTCTCTTTAGCGCTCCTGCACACGACGCCGGCCCCGCGCCTTTGCACTGTATATACGCGCCGCGTCAAGCTCGCTGCCGCGCCGCCGCGCTTAGGGATCAAATAATTTTTTTTTTCTATAACTCACTTTAAATGAAACCGGATTAAAGGGTTGTTTTGAATGTCACTCATGTCGACTTTAAGACCCTCGCGGAGCACATCAGGGTGCTTCTTCGTCATCAGCCAGCCGACGTGGGCGAAGAAGAAACCTCTGTTGGCGTCGTGGGGGTCGGCAGACGACTCGGAGAACTTGTGGTGCACGCGGTGGTCGCGCACCCACTGGTACAGGTCGTTCTAATAAATTAAAAACAGTAGGTAATCCGTTTTATGATGATTATGATAATAATTGAAATTATCTGTCTTACATTTTACCATTAATTTTACAAGGTGCTGAATCCAGGCCGCCACCAACCGGCCGTTGTGGAAATCATTGGGGGAGGCCTATGTTCAGGAGTGGACGTCCTATGGCTATGATGATGATGATGATTAATTTTACTGTTCGGTAATGAGATCTTGGCCTTGTACTTTGAATGTTTAAAAATAGCAGTAGGCAATAACATGTGAATTCTATAGGCATTAGGTTGTGCGTCACTAAAAATTAACTTATTGTTTGTTGTTAACATCTCTGTAGCTGAAATACATCGTAAAATTGACATAGTGGTAAATGAATTTAAAGAAAAGGTTGGTTCTATAGTAAAACATTAAGAACTGCCAGCGATAGGCACTTACCATTCCAGCTGTTAAGAAACCTATGAGTAATATGATTTGTAAAGGAAGCTTGGCTTTGTAGGCGCGGTGGCTCCAAAGCCGGTGAGCACCGCCAGTCACTCCAAAACCAGTGAACGCTGCTAGTAAGAACACTGAAACAACGATATAATTGATTTATACAGGGATTAGCAAGCTCAGTAGCAATGGACAGGGCACATAGTATGCAGAACTGACGGCCGATGGGGCAGCAAGGTTCTGAAGTGGAGGCCACGTACCTACGTAGGACGTCTACCCACAAGGTGGATCGACGACCTCATAAAGGTAGCAGGAAGGCGCTGGATGGAGGCTGCTAACCGGTCCAAATGGACCAACTATCCGGTCATTATGGAAATCATTGGGGGAGGCCAGATTTTCAGCAGCGGACGCCATATGGCTGAAATTATGATGAAATACAGGGTTATTTGCAAGACACCACCAACCGCCACCAGCTGACATCATACCCAACATCATTGATTCTACGACTGTTTAAAATTTATTATTTTTTTTAAATAAATATTAATTTAATTTTCTTCTTAATGTTAATAAATCTACACGTATCATTAAGATCAGACGGTTTTTTCATGCTCTTGGCAGACCAGCATTTTAGGGTAACCGCCAATGCCACGATAACCCACGAGCAATGTGTTCTGTTTTTGGGCATATTGCTGCGACACCCGCCTCGCCCCCTTGTCACATCTTCCTTTAGTTTCTGTGATCTATGGTTGGGAGCATGCGTTGTTAAACTTTCAGCTTTTATAAAATAAAGAAGGTCCGGGGTTCATGGGATTTTGCATTCTGTACAGTACCTAACTTATTCATAGTACTTACGAAACAGGAAAGTCTGCCATTTCGGATAATAACGACCGTCGATAAATATTTGATACGCTGACACCAGTACTAGGACATGGAACAGTGTGATTGCTACAGTGTTGAACCACACTATAGGAGTCTTGAAGCCAGCCTTCTTTTCCCATTCTCTCACAGCGGACATGAACGAGCCCTCGTTTTTGGGCCTTAATTGATCGTAGACGCTGATTATATGGTTTTCATTATGATCTATTTGCTGAGGAATGAACTGCTCAGATTGCAAAGAAGACTTGTCATCTAGTTCAGATAATTTGTCCATAGTGTCGATTGCCATTGTTTTGAACTGAAAAAACCATATCGAATAAGTAATAATTCAGATTGACCACGGAAAAAGTTAAGGTACAAAAAATGGCTCTAATGTCATGAATACCTAGGAAATTTACAGCGCAACCAGCGCATATTAATAAGAGTTCTTAGTAGGAAGAAATAAAAATTTTCATTATAATTTTGCACTAATTCTTATTCCCAACTGCTTTTTCCCAAGTTCTTTTAGAAAGGGTTTTTTGCGAAGTTAAAGGGAATAGGAGTAGTCCTATAATATGTATACTACTATTACATTGCCGGGAATAGGTACTTAATAAAACGAATGAATATTAAAAAGGTCTGCTTACCTTGACGAATGATCACCGAATTTAACGTTCCATTACCTGGATTAAGCGTACCACAATGAATGAGTTCGGCCTTATGAGATTTAAACATCATTTGGTGGTATTTATATTATCTCGTTGTGCCTAGAAGTGTCAACATACAACCACTCAAAAGCCTTATGGTGGTCTATACGACCAATCATTGTAATTTTATGATCATTTTAGCCAAATGACTGCCCGCATCGAGGTACTTTACGAGACCATCGCCAGATCGTCGGTCCACCTAGTGTGAGGCCTGCCCACACTTCGTTTTCTTATGATTGGTAGGTATGTCGATTCAATTGTATTTGCTGCGATTGCTGGCAGAAACCTCGAAGGCCTCGGTAGAGTTATCGAGACTTAAGCCGAAGGAAGTCCCTGGGCTTTACAGATCACCTGATGCTGACCACGTCACCGCCCGTAGAACTTCTTCTTCTTCTTAGTCGGGCACTCTTGTTAGAGTGGTCGTGGTTGGTATTGGTGGGTTGGTGGGGTAATATCATCTCCGAGGGTAGCTCTCCTGGCGATGTGCTTTCATTTCTGACGGCTAGAGGCGTCGCGAGTACACTGGACCACGGTGGACTCAGTGGCCTTTGTGATGGCGTCTATCCAGCGGGTTGGCGATCGACCGCGTGCTCTCTTGCCTTCCACCTGGCCCTGAACTACCAGTTTCTCCATCGAGTTCTCATTTCTAGAGACGTGACCAAAGAACTTCAGTATTCGTAGTTGCACAGTTGACGATAGTCTGTCTTTAACACAAAGCTCTTTGAGGATGGATACATTGGTGCGAAATGCCGTCCACGGGATCTTTAGGAGGCGTCTCCAGCACCACATCTCTAATGCATCGATTTTACAGCGATCCTGCAATCTCAGAGACCAAGTTTCGGCTCCATAGAGAAAGATTGGAAACAAGGCATTTCATCAATCTTTTAGTCTTCTTGGTAATCCTCCCGTCTCCTCAAATCTTTCCCAGTCATTCCACTGCAGACCTGGTGATGGCGCACCGTCGTCTGATCTCGTCGCCACAACCGCCAGTACTTGATATAGTAGAACCGAGGTAAATTTGATTGGATAGGTTGATAGCAAGTCCGGATTGGAGACTGGTACTTTCCAGAAGGATAACGTACGAACGAACGAACTCTCCAGAAGGGTTAGAAAATGTTCCATGTCTGCTTTAGTCTGTGCCAGAAGGGTAGTATCATATTATCATTAGACAATACGCATAATGTACTCTGTGTAGGTGTTGAAGAGTAAAGGCGATAAGATGCCATCCTTGTCGTACACCGGCCTCAGTCTTAAATTCGCTTGAAAGGGTATATACAGTGTGTCCGGGCATGTAGTGATCAAACTTTAAGGGCGTAATCTATGGACAATTTTATCGGTGAAAATACTTTAAATTTGGGGCTTGACCCATTTCTCGCATATTTACAAGGATTTAAGTTTTTAAATTTAAGTTTTCACCTCTTCGTTCAAAAACAAGTGATAGCGTGGGTAGTTTAACATTAATAAGCAAAAATTTTATATCATGCGATAGCCAATAAAATTAATTATTAGTAGAAGTAGAAAACAGATACAAGTTTCATACATTTTAAAGGTGTAAGAATGGATTTAATTAGAAATAAACATGATTTTTTTCACATCTTTTTCAGTTTTTTCCCAACACAAGAAAAACCAGGTCGTTAAGGTATGTTTTATTTGCATTGTATTATTAGTATTTGAGCTACTCTACAAAACGAATGTAAATTTATTAGTCTACGTTTATTAGTTTCGACGTAATTGTTGAACAAAGATACCCCTTCCCAGCGGTTTCCATAGCGCACGCGACATGCGAAAATGCACTGCCTGAAAGAATCACACAACCTATTCCGATTACTATGGAAACCGCTGGGAATGGGTATCTCTGTTCAACAATTACGTCGAAACTAATAGACGTAGACTAATAAATTTACATTCGTTTTGTAGAATAGCTCAAATACTAATAATACAATGCAAATAAAACATACCTTAACGACCTGGTTTTTCTTGTGTTGGGAAAAAACTGAAAAAGATGTGAAAAAAATCATGTTTATTTCTAATTAAATCCATTCTTACTCCCTTAAAATGTAAGAAACTTGTGTCTGTTTTCTACTTCTACTAATAGATAATTTTATTGGCTATCGCATGATATAAAATTTTTGCTTATTAATGTTAAACTACCCACGCTATCACTTGTTTTTGAAGGAAGAGGTGAAAACTTAAAATTAAAAACTTAAATCCTTGTAAATATGCGAGAAATGGGTCAAGCCCCAAATTTAAAGTATTTTCACCGATAAAATTGTCCATAGATTACGCCCTTAAAGTTTGATCACTACATGCCCGGACACACTGTATAATTCACTTGTAGAACAGCTGTTACCTTGTCCTCCTACTCCTCAACATCCGAGTCAGACAGTGTAAGGAACTTAGTCATGGACTGGCCCAGCTTGAAACGGAGGCCTTCCATTAAGCCCAGTTGCCCAGCAGGAGGATATCCTCGTCCTGTCTGTTCATATGACCCAGACAAAGTAGCTAAGATTATCATATTGAGCATTTTAGTATATTAAGTAATTATTATTACAAAATAAATCAGCATGCTTAGTTTTGAAGGGTTGTTTAAAGGAAGTGTAGACTTATGAACCACCAATTTGACGCAGATGTAAGATGTGGCATTGTGTCTGTCGCTTAGGTATTTTCATTGTTTTTACCGGAACTAGGTATCACCTATTAACACGCTTTGTTTTAAATAAAAATACGAGACTAATAGGTACTTTTGTTTTCATTTTGCGTCACAACCAAAAATTACTCCTATGAAGCCTCAAACTCCTCGGAATCTCGCTTTGGATGATAGCCGGAAAACAAATGGGCTGCACCGGTGTCGATTATTTTACAAGTTACTTTATATAGTACACTTATTATTATTCTGTGATAGTACTAGCGGCCGCGACTTTGTACGCGTGGATCCCGTTTTACCCCCTCAGGGGTGGAGTTTCGTAAAATCCTTTCTTAGCGAATGCCTACGTCATAACATCTACCTGCATGCCAAATTTCAGCCCGATCAGTCCAGTGGTTTGGGCTGTGCGTTGATAGATCACTATGTCAGTCAGTCAATCAGTCAGTCATTCAGTCACCTTTGATTATAATGTATACCTACAGTGTGTCCGGGCATGTAGTGATCAAACTTTAAGGGCGTAATCTACAGACAATTGTATCGATGAAAGAAAATACTTCAAATTTGGGTCTTGACCCATTTCTCTCAAAATTACAAGGATTTAAGTTTTTAATTTTCAACCGACTTCAAAAAAAGGAGGAGGTTCTCAATTCGACCCGTATATTTTTTTTCTATGTTTGTTACGCGATAACTCCGCCAATTATGAACCGATTTGAACAAATCTTTTTTCGGCGTATAGGTAATACCTCAAGGGTGGTCCCATTTAAATTTAATAATAAAAAAATCGGTATCGACTTTGCACAAGTCTTTTTTGCTTTAAGGCTGAGTTGCACCAACTTTAAAAATAACCAGTGTTTTTTGTATGGAGTTTGACAGATTTTTGACGTTTTTCAAAGTCTTAACGATGGTGAAACTCAGCGTTAGTGTTGCTGCTGTTATTTGTCTGTTAATAGTTTGATATTACTTCATCATCATCATCATCATCATTTCAGCCACAGGACGTCCACTGCTGAACATCTTTGCCTCCCCCAATGATTTCCCCAATGGCCGGTAATGTACTTGCTGTTGCCGATTGATGACGATTTGATAAGTAGCTTTAATTACTGGTGCAATGAACGTGGTAAAACCCGGGTTTGATACTTGATTGGGAAAATGGTAATTTACTAAGGTTTTTAAAATCATCCTGGTGCATATTCTTTAAAATGCCCTAGTGATTGTTTGAGATTACGTGATTTAAAAAACTCATTTATTTCTGTAAATAGGCTTAAAATAAGCACTTTTACACGTCCCAGTTGATTGTTAAATATTATCTAAGTTATTAATTTAACTATCTATCTCATTTACAAAGATAAAGTATTTCAGCGCAAAAATAGAGAACTATTCTAAACATAAGTAAGTAAAGAGATTTGATTGAAAGATGATTCACATTTCTAAAGTATACCTACGCCCATAATATTTTTCCATTCATATCAAAATATATTTTATTTCCCTTCTCAGATCTATCACCATGTTGTAAGCATTCCATAGCTTCCCTTCCCATGTTATGTAAAAGTTATCGGTCACTTTACCTTTTTTGATTGCGTTGGCTACCGTAGCATATGATAATCCGTACGGCATAAATATTGTATGGAGGACTTCCATAATTCCATTGAAACGGATACAGCGGTGACTTTTGTATAGAAAACGTATAAATTACCGTTTTGGCAATATCGGGTTGTTTCACGCAATGTTAAATGGTTCAGTATGAATTTTGTATACCTATTCAAATTCATGTAAAGCTTCAACCAGACCAAAGCGTGCAGATCGCCATCGCAGGCGCGATCAAAGGCAAATGACAGGTCGCGCGACCTATGACAGTTCACGCGACCTGTCATTGGCCTTTGATCGCGCCGGCGATAGTGATCTGCACGGGTTAGTGTGGTTGAAGCATTACTCTATCGTTGTGCTCTGTTCACGTTCAATGATGCGGAAGAAAAATTTATCGAGTGGCGACTTCGGGCCAGAAGACATAGCGTGGGCTCCTATTAGGTGGACCGACGGTCTGGTGAAGGTCGCGGGAAGGCCTGGATGCGGGTAGCGCAGCCGGTCGTTATGGAAATCCCTGGAGGAGGCCTTTGTCCAGCAGTGGACGTCATTTGGCTGAAATGAACGAACGAGTGATGCGGAAGAAACCTAACCTAACTTAAACGGGTAAAATATTAATTTCGTTAGCACGTGATTTAATAAACGTAAAGTTATTAAAGTTTCTTAGCGATTAGAGTCGCTTCTCAAACTAAATTTTAAATAAACAACTTGAAAAAATCGAACTGCCTAAGGAGGAAATCGAACCCACGACCATTCGCTTGCCGGGCGACTGCTCTTTCAATTG